GATACAGATACTGATACAGATACAGATACAGATACAGATACAGATACAGATACAGCCACTGCAACAGGATGCAAATATTTATATACGTATAAAACAAGACAAAGGCGAAATAAAACGCACACACGGATACACAGAGAGAGACAAACAGTAAAAGGAAAAAGTGCATAAATAAATTCTTAAGTGCAGCATGCATAAAAATGCAACCAGTCGAAAATCAATAAAAATTCCATTTAAATTAATGTAAATGTTTATATTGCAACTCTGTGAAATGTTTTTCTGCATTTTTCTTCTTTTTTCGCCATATTGTTGTTTGGCTCTGAGTAAATTTCACTTTTTAAGCAATTTGGCCAAAAAATAAGAAGAAATATATGAGATTTTAATAAAAAGAAAGCCAGAGATAAAACTCGTACAAGTTGGTTCTGCACAAATATGACCCACATCGAGGACATTATCATTAATTTATATAAAGATGAAAGATTTCAATTGCATAAGTACATATATCTACAGATAGTATATAGAATAATATTTAACTTGATAAAGAAAAATCAAATCTTTAGAATTTTATTTTTGAATACATTTATTTTATTTATTAGCTACTATCTATATATAAATTTATTTATTATTTCTTATTTTATTTTACTTATTTTTGTTTATCATTATTACAATTTTTTTTCTTTTGGGAGAAAGTAAACGTAATTGTTTATGGAACATATACGCCGCATACAAATCTATCTCATTATTATATGGCTATTTATTTTATTTGTTTAAATAGTGAAATTTTGGTAGTCTTCAGGCCGCTGCAATATTTCAGTCTAGCTGTTGTCTAGCATAAATAATATAACTCGGCATTTGCCCTGCACACAAACTAGAATTTACTTTTATATAAATTAAATTACTTTTGTTTTTGGCCATTGCCAGCCAGAGTCGTCTTGGCTTTTGCTGAGAGCCAGACAAGAGCAGCAACAACAACAACAACAACAACATTTGAGCCCCGAAATTCCACCTGTAATAACGTCGCAGAAAAGAGCTAAAGCAACAAAATCGAGAATTGAGCAGCAGACGCGAAACACGAAATCGAATGAATAAAAACCAGATTTACTACTAATTTAAATTCTTGGCATACAAAAACAAAATTCTAAATAAAAAGAAACAAAAGCATCAACAACAACAACAACGCGAACAGAGACAACAACAACAACAACAACTTTAAATTGAGTTTGGAAACGCAGCGAAATGGCTTTATTGGCAAAATATATAAACTGGCCCTTATAGAGCGCCAGAGAGAGAGAGAAAGAGAGAGAGAGAGAGAGAGAGAGAGAGAGTGAGAGATAGACTACCCTGCCTCTCTCTCTCTCTGTTCTTCATTTCTTTCTGTATTTGTGCGTGACAAATGCTGCGAATTTCCGCTTGGCTAGCCGGCCGCTTCCTTTCCATTTGCTATTTATAAACTATTTAAGACATTTTACTCAACAACATTAAAAAACATTTTGTCTCAATTTATAATGGAAAATAAATAAATCTAAATTTTAGTTCGAGTGTTTAGCGAGCACGTGCATTGAAAAGTCTGCGGGCCCTGGGGCAGCGACAGCGGCAGCCCCCCAAAAAATGGAAATGAAACAAACTAAATTATGCATGATATCGTGGTAATATGTTAATTTGTGAATAAAAATGCCAAAGCGGAGATCATAAAATGCGGCATTAATTATGCATTTGTTTAAAAGCGTATCAGAATGCCGCAAGCTATGACCAAACTTTATCGTCTCACAGACGCGATGCGATGCGATGTATGCGAAAACCTCGATTCAAATTGAAAATTGAAAGTTGGCCCCGAAACACGCTTCCAATTCGATGTTTTTTATGCTGCTGCTTGTAGATGTTTTTTTTTTTCTTAGCTCAATTTAGAGTTTGGGGCGTGTTTTGTTACAAGAAAATCTGTTGAGGGAAGTTGAGAGTTTTATACCGTAATATTAATATGAAAAATCTGTAAAAGTTACATTTAAGCACTTGACAACAAAGCCATAACACTTCTGATTTTTATTTATGTTTCGGACTCAGTCACCCACTTATCAGAACAGCTTCGATTCCCAGTCTTGTCACATTATGCTCTATTCGTTTCATTTTCAAATAGTTTTTCAAAGTTTTGCAGCCCTGGTTAATTTCATGGCAATTGCAAAGCTGGAACTACGCAGCACTTGTCGGCGTCAGCTAAGATAGCAACAATGTATGTATGTATGTATGGATGAGGCTGCGTGTTAAAGGAAGTACAGAATAATATGCACACACACACACACACACTTGTACTCACACACACACTTATTTATGTGTGTATTGCGTGCTCTAAGTGATTTCAAAATATGCCACAAGACGAACAGCTCGGCAGCCCATCGATAACTGCCACACCCTCCACAGCTCAAGCTGTCCCCGCTCGCCTTCATCTCTGTCTCTCCTTCTCCCTCTCTCTTTCTGCCACTCGTCTGCTCACAGTCACACGCATCTGTATCTTGTTTTGCTCGCATCGCGTCTTTAGCAAGTGATTTCAATTTAATTGACAGTCCTTGAACTTGACTTAAAGGCAAACACAACAGCAACAACAACAACAATAACAACAACATCTGCAACAACCGGCATTTCAATGTGCCACACAGTCTCCCTCTGGATCCGGCTGCTGTTTCATGCTCCATCGTCTTCATCTTCATCTCCATCTCCATTTCCAGCTCCAGCTCCGAGCTCCCAGCTTCAGCTGCTGCTCACAGAACTCTCTGGCAAATGTCAAAAGCTCTTGCTGTTTCTTTCTGACTTCCATGAAATTCTACAATCTATTCGAAAAATAAAAACAAAAACTTTAGTGCTAAAAAAATAGAGAATAACAACATATTTTTTGTTATTTGTGCGTGCGCTATGCTCTCTCATTGTTGTTGTTGTTTTTGTTGTTTCTTTTTCTTAATTTATACGACTTGGCGGGTTTTTTTTTGCCAAATACTCTAGGGATAAGCATATGAGCTATGAGCTAAGTTTATTATATATATATGTATATGTTTTATTAAAATAATATTTATTAAATTATATTTTATATATTATATCATATGTACATTTATGCATTTAGAGTCCTTAAAGGCTCTTTAACTAAGATTTAGGTATATTCGATATATATTCAACTTCTAGAACACTTCAGAAAGAGCATTCAATTTCTGTCTAAATTTATTTTTTAGTCGCTCGTTTTTGCATTTTCATGTTTTGCTATTAGTTGACGAACTTGAAAAGCAAATAATAAAGACAGCCAAAGAGTGCTATACAGAGAGGAAGAGAGATAGAGAGAGAAAGAGAGCAAAAGAAAGGGTGAGAGATAGCGAGTGAAAGAGAGACAGAGACTGAGAGAGAGAGAGAGAGCGAGAGAACAGAGGCGTGGCTGCTTTATTCACGACTTTTAAACAATAACGAAATCATTTTTTTGTCGTCATATTATTTTTGCCAAAATATAAATCTTCAGCAACATAAAGACAAAGCGTAGCTAGCGACACGTAGATGACTGTAATATATATAATTTATATTGAAGGCATGCGTGCGCCACGCATTTTTCATGGATCAGACATCTCAGTATGTATATAGCTATAAAGATATAGATATAGCTGGAAATATATATATATGTATATATATATATAGACACGGGTAAGCACCCAAGTAGCGATCATTTCATTCAGTGCGCGTCAATGAATGTGGCTGTGTTTATGCTTGCGTGTGTGTGTGTGTGTGAATGGGCTTTAAGAAAATACTGCCCCGCGTGGAGCGCGCCTCCAGTTGGAGCAGGCTTATAAAAATTCAATTATGACTCGGCAAACTTGGCAACACGTGTCGATTTTCTATTTCGATAGGTTCGTTGGCAGCTCGAAGAGAAATACATAGACAGCTATTGTTATGCTCTCCCTCTCTCTCTCTTTCTCCGTGTAGAGTATACGCCCCGTGGGCTTAGAAAAAAAAAATGGAAGAAACAAAAATCAGAAATACAAAGCGCACGCAGCGCGAAGATAAATAGCCACAGGTGACAAAACGATATTCAAATGCATAACTTGATATTCAATAGATAAGCTGAACCAGAGCTCGTATAATAAAAGTAAATGAAACCCACTCAACAAAGTGTGTGTGTGTGTGAGTGTATCTGTGTGCTCGTGAGCTGAAATAAAAACTTTCACCCGCAAATGATCTATGAACACAAAAGTCAAAGACTTTCGCATTCAAATCGATGAAGCCAGTAGCCAAATGCCAAGTACGCACATCTAATTGCGCTCACAAATGGAAATGGAGAAAAAGACCCAAAAATAAACTACAATGCAATAAAACTGATTAGAAATCCGCGCTCGTCTATGAGAACTTGCAATTTACTTTCACAAAAGCCAAATTCAAGTTCAGGGCAACATCCTATGCCTATTCACGCACTCACACACACACACATACGCACCCGTATATCTATGACGTTTGCTATCATCATCAGACATCGATAAGTAAAAGTTCTCTTTCTGCACAGTCTCTACGAAAAGTGCGTGTGCCGGGGGCGGAACGCAGAGGGGAGGCAAGATTGTGTGGGCGCTCACAGTCCATAATATTTTGATTTCTTTTTGTGTGTCAATGAACTCGACTGAACTAAATTCTTTTTTTTTTTTATGCTGCTTAGTTTTATTGGCTTTTTGTTTTAGACCCATTTAATTTTCGTTTATTTTCATTTCTATTTCTATTCTTTTCTTGTGCGTGCCTTATCGCAAAAGCAATGTTGCGTAGGCCATGCGGGAATGCGTTTAGAAAAGAAAAGTTATGACAAATCCGCCTATAAATGAAAAGTGATTTTAAAATCTATTTAATTGCGTTGATAGCGCTCAGATTTGATTGTGAAATCGGGTCAAGAGGTCGCACAAGCATAGTAAATGTGTCAGAAAGTGTTAGATGTTATTGCAAGAGGCGTGTGCGGTCGAGGAAGCTATGAACATTTAATGGAAATATTAAATGTTTACTTTGAAATAAATATAGATAAATCAAACAATTTAAAATTATAAATAATTTGCAAGAATTTAACAAATACCAGAAATTATGAATATCGGAAAAAAGAAAGCAAAAATATGAATTACTATATAAAATATATGATATGATATATCTACATGATATAACTTTGTTTATGATAGAACCGCACTAATCTGCATTTTGAATGTTTTGTGAAGAAGGATGATTCCAAAGAATAAATTATCAAGTATATACTATCAATATATATACTATATATATATATATATATATATATATATATATATATATATATATAGTTTATAATTACCATTAATAAATGTTTGCAAAAAGGAGAAGAAAGAGAAACAGAGAGAGAGAGAGAGAGAGAGAGAGATAGAGAGAGAGAGACACACCCACAGAGTGAGAGAAAGAGAGAGAGAGAGATAACAGAGTAAACGAAAAAAAGTGGTATAAAAATAAATATACAACTAACTGCGTTTTTGTTCGGTGATTTACCGTTAAATACTTGCTGTCTGTGTGTGAAAATTCCGCTTCGATTGGAAAGTGGTCTTTTTCCCAAGCCCGAAAAGACAACACACACACACACACACACACACGCCGCCTGCTTTTGATAGCCGATAGAAGAAGAAAACAAAAATGAGAAATGAAAAAGCCAAAATTAACCGCTAAGCGAGTTGCATGAAAGAAAAGTGAAAACTGGGCGACAATTGGATTTTCCATTTCATTTCATTTCATTTCGTTTCATTTCGTTTCATTCCGCATCGTTTCGATACGCTAATGCATTAGTATTTGGCATATGCCCCAATAAGCATATCAGCCACGCCCACCTGCGGCTCGGTTAATTGCAACTGGCAGCAGCTGTGGCAGCCAGCATTCATATTAATTAAGCGTTAGCGGAGCGTGCAACATGCTGCACGCCGGCAACTCGCCCCACCCCTCCGACCCCACTCCCCCCCCCCCTCGCCCCTTGCCACACGCTGCCTGCCACTTTCTTTGGCTTACATATTTAGGCCCGTCAGCTTGCGGCTCAAATGCATCATCCCAAGACCAAGTGCCAGGCGCACTTAATTGGGCTTGAATTCGTCGAAGTTGGCGAGGATGGTGGATGAGGGGGAAGTGGAGCGGAGGGCACACTCGTGTGGGGGAGTTAGTTGGAAGCAGCTGCCGCCACATGCAAAACAGTTAGACACAATGACGTCGATCGATCCAACTTGGCCAAGATCAAGGCAGCCCTCGTGCTTGGGGTCTATCGCAGCGCCTCACAATGGATTTTCTAGGTCACAGTCTGTGAGCATAGCTCAGCATTATATAATAGAGAACTGAACTTTCGAAGAATTTCTTTTTGGTTTTCATTTAAAAAGTTGCAGCTTATCATGTTTATTATAAATATGTATAATTAGGCATATTATATAGAGATACTGCAATTGGACTCTATACAGATGATTTTATTTAATATTTTCGGGATTTGTGCTTCTTGTAAATCAACCTTATCTTCTGTCCGAGAATTATTTATTACCATTGCCATGGCCTTGCCATGACCATGAGCCGTTTATAATTAGAGGCTCTTTCATATTATATATATGTATATTGTTTATAAATATCGCCATTAATTAGAGAAGAAAGAACAAAGAACATCAATTGAAATTTTTAAGAGATTTGTCTATTTTGCCTCAGTTTCTTTTAATTGCCTTCTTCATATCGAATCAGATTTCATATCACACAATATTCCACTTATGTGATATTTCTAATATACTAAGCTTCCTGCCAGAACTACATTAAAACTGTTTGCTAGCTAAATGATGTTTATTATTCATATGATAAGATCTTGGAATATATTCATAACCGTTTTACTTTCTATAACTGCAATATATCGTTATAAATTCAGGAAGTTGCTTTTATTGCAATTTCTATTTTGAGGGGATCTGCACATGTTAAATGTTCGACAACAAAGATCTCTTAATTTCTGATTAGCATTAAACAGTTAGGAAAGAGAATAAAGAGGAGGAAGAGGTAGAGGTGGAGGTAGAGGTAGAGGTAGAGGTAGAGGTAGAGGTAGAGGTAGAGGTAGAGGTAGA